ACTGTCTTTATTCACATACAACACGATTACCTATAATAGAAAATCTTAGGTATCTTCAAAACATCTACTAAAACTAGTGAGTCTTACAATTTTGGAGGATACTAACCAATGTAAAAAGTAAATTGTGTTTTATATAATAGCAATCAATAATTTAAAATGAATTTTTTTAAATACTAGTTACAGTGATGTCAAAAATATACTTAGAGATAACCCTGAAAAAGAATATGCAAGACTGTTGTAGTTGAAGTTACAAAACACTGATAAAATAAATTAAACCCTCAATAAAAGAAGAAGTACATAGTATTTATGGAACAGAAGATTCATTATTAAGATGTTAATTCTCTCTCAATTGATTTAACTACCAAATTTATCAAAATACTGACAGCCTTCTTTTTTTGTAGAGAACAAACTTTCTAAAATTCATATGGAAATGTCATGGTAATAGATTATCCAAACCAATTTTTAGAAGGAGCAACAAAGCTGAAATATTAATAATACTTGATTTCAAAACTTCTATAAAGTTACAGGATCTCTCACAGCTCAGTAATAAGAAAAGCCAAGAACCGAATTTTCTAAAATGGACAAAAGTCTTGAACAGACACATCATCAAAGAAATACTGATGATATATAAGCACAGGAAAAGATGTTCAACATTAGTAATTATTAGGAAACTTCAAATTAGTTATAACTACATATCTATAAGAATGGCTAAAACAAAAAGAGCTAATCATGCAAAGTGCTTGCATGCCATGTGGAACAACAAAAATCCTCAAAAGCTTCTGGTGGAAATATAAAGCAGAACATCCACTTTAGGAAACAGTTTGGAATTCCTGAAAAAGTGAAAAATATGTCTATCAAATCAGCCTGTCATTGACTCCTAGATATTTATCCAAAGAAATGAAACAATACATGAATACCAAAATTTGTTCTTGAATGTTCATAGCAGTTTTATTTGTAATAGTCAAATAACTTTGTCCCAATGTTATGGACCCAATTGTCCATTAACAGGTGAATGGATAAAGAAATTGTGTTACATGCCTACAATAGAACACTACTCAGCCATAAAAAGAATGGATTATTGATTCATGTGACAATATAAATGGATCTCAGATAATTATACTAAGTGAATGAAAACAGAAGAAATGCATACATATGACTTCATGTAAATAAATGTCTAGAAAATTTAAACTAATCTGCAGTGACAGAAAGCAGACCAATGATTGTTCGGGGGGGTGGAGTGGGAGAAAGGACCAAAAGGGAAGGATGACGAGAAGGCAAAAGGAGATTTGGAGGTGATGGATATATTCATTATTTTGATTGTAGTGATGGTGTCACAAGCATAAGCATTCGTTAAAACCAATCACGTCATACGCTTTAAGTATGTGCAGTTTATTATGTACCAATTAAACTTCAATAAAGGTATTAAAATTGCATATGAGAAATGCCAAAAGCAACTTAAATCTAAAAAAATTGAGAGACGAATTGAAAAATAAAAACAAAGAAATTAGCAGAAGGACTCAACACTAGAAAGCAACAGCAAAAATATACTACCTGAAGATGAGACAAACACAAAGAAACACCTTTCTTTGCAGCTTTAAGGGATGGAACTAGACTGTATGCTGCTGGAGCAAAGGTTTTCCTGCACCTCGTTGGAGTGAGTTTCAGTAGAGATATACAGGAGACGGGGTTATACACTAAGTCACACAGACAAGCACATTCACAAAATTGTGTGAGTTGTGTCCCTTATATATCATCTATTTAATCAATTATTTATTATGGGTATAATCTTTATGTGACTAAGAGCAACAGAAAATAATTTCAAGTTGAATAGCAATGAAAACCATAGGACTAGTTAGCTGAAATTTGCTGAATGACTAACTGAATCACGGTATCTAATATCCTTTCCAAGTACCATACTCCCATCTAAAATGAGTGTGTACCCCTAGATCCCAAGTTCTCTGTCCTACTCACCAATTCACTCCAGCGTTTCTTCACTCTTTTCTCTACATCTTTTTCCTGCCCTCAAGAAGATACCATACCGATTAAAAAACAAAAAATTGCAAGCATACCATTATTCATCAGGCATCCTGATAAAAGCTTCTCCTGGCCCCAGACCGTTGCCTTGCCATTGGTTTGCTTTCCTTTGCAGTAAAGCTTCAAAAGAGTTGACTCTACTTGTGTCTTCAATTCCTTTCTTCAAATTCTCTTTCAAAGCATGTTAACCAGGCTCTTGTCCATTGTTCTTTGTCATTATCAATACTGATTTCTTCATTGTTAACTCCAATGGCTAATCAGTTCTCTTATTTTCTATGTGTTTGACACTATGTTAAATATTTAGAAAATTATCTCAATATTTATCTTTATACTCATATTTGGTAAAGCCTTTATGATAATATAAATTCTGAGGTTTGTTTGGAGTCAGGCAACTGAAGGATGAAAAATAAATAAAAGTGATTAAAGATTTGAGAAGTAATCTTTCTAATAATAGAATAAAGCTTAAAGTCTTGTTGTATTTAAAGAAGAGAATATTAAGGAGCAAATTACTAAACAGAGTATCTAGATATCTAAAAAGGCATTTATAAATGTATGTGAATAAGGTTTTGTTGTTTTCTCGGCCCAATATAAACAGAAATATGGCTAAATTATCTGGGGGTGGGAGGAGTTATAGCATTCATGAGGAAAATCTAGCTAAGAAAAATTAGCAGAATACCAACACTACTGAACACCCACTATATACTAAGGGCAGGACTAGAGGCAGAGATAGAGAGAGAAAGAGAGAGAAGTTATTTTAGGAAAAAAACTTACATCAGATCTTATTTCACTCTGATGCAGTGTTTCCTAAGGGAAATAAATACAAATTTATAAATATTTGTGTATGTAAATTTAATCCTACTTTCCACCTGTGAATTATGTGAAATTGTCCTTATTTTTAAAGAGGAATCTAAAAGAGAGTTTAAGAAGCCCTCCCAATTTCACACAGAGGCAGGGGTGGTAAAAGCACAAAATTTGGAGCTATAAAATCTAGGTTCCAGTGTGTGCACTTTCTATCATTTGATTGTGAGAAAATTACTTCTACAACTTCCTAATACTTTATCTCTAAAATAAAAATAAGAATACACCCAAAGAACATTGGAAAGATTTAATAGTTTTAGTGAAAATATTTTAAATATAAATATAAATAATCCTTCAAAGCATTTATGCAAATATGGGCTTCCTTCTCACCATATGGTTGAAAGTTAAAGTAAAGGAATTTAAATGTTTGCTCTTAATGAGTAATATGTTGATATAAACTTTTAAAAGTTGCTTCTGCTTACATGTGTTTATTTGCTTCTCATCTTCAAATCCATGCACGGTTTAAGTCATCACCATTTAACATTTCTTAATTGTCCATGCTCTATATTAATTTTGAGAGGTTTTAGTTTTCCAATAAGAAAAGAAAGAGGAGCTATGACATCGGTCTTCTTTGAGTTATCACCTACCCAATATTCTCAGGGAGTACTACAAAGATACCCATTGTGACAGCCAGGTATCTGTCAGCCTGTATAAAACTTAGAGCCAACTGAAAATAGACGTGAATCATGAAAACTACTTACAATTTCAGAGACATACAGTATGGATCTTAGGCCTCATAGGTTTAATATTTCTTATGCCTCTTTATATGGTATTCATTTATCATATTGAAAGGAAAATTGTCCTCGGTCCTCCCATTAATAGAAACCTCTAGAAATTTGTAAACTGCCCATAGACCCAACAATCAGTTTCATCTGATCACTAATCACTGCAAAAAAGAAATGCTTAAGTCATAAATACCAAGAGAATCCATTGATTGTAAACAAAATGGAAGTGAGACATGACTGAGCAATTTCAACTGAGTAAGATAATTAAGCTCAGAGATGCTGTTTCCTGTTTCTCTGGTATAAACAAGGCAACTTCACGGGCCTCCTCGCAACCTGGATGTCCCAAGGCCACATGTCTATTCTTTTCTTCCACTTTCCCTAAGGAGAATTCAGGGTCACAAACGAATGAGAATTGGTGTAACTTTCCTGAAACGTTTTTGAGCTTCCTCTGTGTTTATATGTGTGTTATCTTATTATAAGACGAGCTAACATCTATTATTAATTGATGCACTAATTAAAGCCATACTTGCAATTTCCATTAGCGTATTCCCTGAATTCTCCAGAGTTAGCTGTCTGGTTTTAATCAAAACCAAATGGTAGTCCAAGTTCCCAGCCTGGAGCAGCTAGGAGGAAGTCATTCAGGGAGGCACAAGAAAGCAGAAAAGATAAACAGATGATAGTTCGCAAAATTTGTGTCGGACGAAGGACGCAGATACGGTGAGCCGCTTTGGAGATGTGACTCAGGGACTCTGTCATGCTGGAGGGAAGCAGTTGCAAGTGGTTAATGTCCACAAGACTGTAATAGGATCAAGATGGAGTCTGTCTTCTGCTTTTCCAGCACTGGGTTTGTGTAACTGGAGGACTCTGACTAGACGTGATGCTGCTGAGCGAGGACACAAACTACTTTAATTCTGGGAAAGATTCTTGGGATCCGAGAGATCTTGAAGAAAACATTCCATTTCCTGGATCCTTGGGATTTTACTTAGAGATTATCTCAGGTATAGTATATAAGGCTGCAGCATTTTAAGTTGTAAGTAGTGTAAAACCAGGATTTCAAATTTAGAAGAATTACGGTATTAAAACTAAACTCGTCTTGCTCCCTTAAAAGATCTTTTGAAAGGAGGACTGCCATGGTATTTTGGTTAAGTTGTGTCTATACATTTAAAAGAGTGGAAAAGCTGTAGAGGGGAGAGAGAGCTCTGTTTTCTTTTTCTTTTTTCTCATAAGCAATGTGGAATAGAAAAAGCTCTAGGACTTTATGACTCTCCAGCTAATCACCTCAAGAGCTTTGACAAACTCACTTCAGTTCTGTGTAAAATCAGAGCTCCTACAACGCCCAGGCGGGCTCCGCTCTCCCCCTCCCCTCTGCCTCGCGCAGTCTTTCTCACATGCACACTCCTCAGAGGCAGGAAATGCTTCCCAGGCAATCTGGGCCTGGTGGTGGAGGCCCCTTTCGCAAAACATCAGTCTGAACTGAGTAGACAGAAGTCACTAGGAACGCCTTGACAGGCTCCTGCTTTAGCTAAGGCTCCCTCCAGCTGCGGAGGGTGTTTTTGTTAGAATCACTCACTGCGTAAAACTGCTTAGAATAGAGCCATGATCTCAACCACGAAATGTGAACTCATATTTTGGAGAAACTAACGGGGACGACTTCTCTCTAACCTGAGAGTTGAACAATGTCATGCCTTGGCGTTTCAGCTCCTCCTTATCTAGGTAAGACGCTGTGGACTATCTATCTTTGTACTTTGAGGTTATCTTTGAAGAGGCAGAAAGATTGGGATAAATGTTAGCATCTTGCAGCGAGTGGTGATTTCCTAGGATTTAGAGCTAAGCCATGAAATCAGAAGTGGAAAATGTTTAGTGAGTAGAAAACTGTGAGTCAAACTGTTTTAGCAAAATGTCAATTCTAAAATAGGCTCCATAGAGACTTTATTCCTCTATAAACTAAGATTTTTCTATTAATCCCTTTTTATTCTTAACTTATGTATCAATAGAACTGTATGACCAAGTTTCCTATTGCATAGCCTAATATAAAAGAAACACATATCCTCACATGTAAGTGTGAGGTGTAAATGAATCCCTTTTATCTCCCTTCTTTTGCTAACAGGGAGAGTAGATAGCACTAGAGTGACTTTTCTTAATGAATCTCCAAAGAATATTCTGTGTCTCATTTAAAATATGAAGATTAGATTCCTCATTATCTCCCCAAACCAGTTTTTAACTGTAGGTCAAACTGCTAATGTACAGCTGAAATATTTGGTTAATAAAAAAAAGTAAATACAACTTTTCACCTATCCTAAATACTATTTAATCTGATTTTCAAAACTTTAAGTATCAGAATTGGATTTAATTTATATTAACTTTCCTGAATTCACTATTCAGGCCTTATTTTTGTGAATATTTTTGAATAATTGAAGTAATTCTCAATGACAACATAATTCATTTTCATTATTTTAAGGCAGCCGGAAATCACTACAATTATATGAAATACTGATCATGTTTCTATAATTTGAATAATCATAAGATTACATTTCCACTGGGCTATACATTCTTTAAAGTATCTTGTTTTCTTTCTTTTTTCTTTAAAGTATCTTAAATGTTTAAATGTGCAGTATGTGAGGAAATATATTTAGTAATGATTAAAATGATGTTGACTTTTAATACATAACATACTGTTATATTTATATTTCTAATATTTAGAAAGAAACTGATTATTTTATTAAAATAATATGCAATGGTATGTAAAGAGAACATTCACGTGTATTTCCAAACTTATTAGATGAACACAAAACATACTAAATGAGAGAGCTATATGACAGTTGAATGACAATAAATTGTGTTTTAATTATAAACTTTTACATATTGCAAAGTGACCATTTACAGTATTAGCTAATTATTCTTAAATTCTATGCTGGCATAATTTATATTAATAAATTGTGACTATTCACTAGCAATTTAAGTCATGTTAAGATTTTTAAAGAAACTTCCTGAATAGAATTTCAAGGAAGGAACATAAGACAATCACTCTCCTAACACTGTGAGGAGGTTGCTGCAGGAGTTAAGGAATGACATTCAAAAGTGACCTGTCCAAGGTCACACCACTGGCTAGTAGAAGAGATGACAATGGAACCACAGTGCCTTATTTTAAAATTCAGGTATCTTTATACTACATCAACCTGCTCTCAAATAATAATTATGCAGAATAAAATATTCACATGTCAAGTAGAAGTCTACTTTTAGACAGAAAATTAGAGTGCTCTTTAAAAAAAAAAAAAGAAGAAGAAGAGCTGCCACCACTGTTAAAGTGTGGGAAAAAAATATGGTTTTAAAAAAAATCAAATTTATTCAGTAGTAAAATTTTCTCAAATGCAAGCTTTCTTTAAAAGATTTAATATGCCTTCAACAAACATTTTAAGGGAGTAACTTGTTTGTGACTACTTTGTTACATTTCATGATTATGCCAAGAAAATCAATCCATATGCTAATAATCATAGTTATTTTAAATCCATGTTATGTAAAAACACAGAGCTAGAAAAAAGCTTGTCTGTTTCATATCCTTGTATTCAAATGGTATCATAATGAGCTTACCCAAACAGTGATGTTCAGAGGATATAAATATAGCCCATTGAAAAAGGTTTAAGGTACACAGACTTTCATTCCTTTATCTACTTAAATTTCTGTGGCTGCAGTCTATTTCCAGTTCTATGGGGTTTTCTTCAGTGGAAATATAGAAAGCCTAGATGGGCATATGGAGACGTAAGTCTACATTTCCAGGCCCAATGAGCCCACTTCCTGTCACCTTCCTTTCTATAGCTTATTTTCAATCCTTTCATTGATTATATCTACTCTGCTCCGTCTGCAAGTTCCTTCAGTTGTAAAATACAGAATTCATTACAGTATATAAATAAACACCTGATCACTGCAGTGTAAAATTGGAGAGTTGGCTGTTTTATATGTACCATACTTCACATGTGACAACATATGTTGCTATGCACGCTGAAACACAGCAGTTTCCAAGGTAACAGCCTTGCTCATAAACCTAATATATGTCATTTCTATTACATGCCATTTCTTTATAGAAAAATGTGTGTAATGATGCTTTTTCCCCCGTTTTTATGAAACAGATTGGATGTCATTACCACTTAAAAGTTACACTATTCAACACCTGTGGTGTTACCACACTCTACAATATTGGAATGAAGAATAAATGCAGTTAGGAAATAGCTTGTATAACTGACTGCATAATTCCTACAGGGACAAGTAAACGAGAGTACATCAGTCTAAATTTTCTTAGGGGCATTATAATAAAACCAGGAGAATTTTTAAGCATGGTGTAATCTTACTTGCAAAGGATTGGGTCTTACAGGCTTAAAATAACTCTAAATTGGGACAGTTAAAATTTACCTTTTGTTTTTATCTTATTTGTTTTTTCTTGGAGAATGAATGGATTGGTGTCATTAGTCAATATTATCTTACAACAAGAACCTCTTCTCTGTAGAAATAGTTACAGTACAGCCAAGTTCCAAACGAGAGATGACCTAGATCTGGATCAGAGAATTTTATTATCAAAATAGAAAAATGTCAAGAATTTAAGACATGAGAATTTAAAGAAGGTGAAGGAAAAGTAGAAAACACTCCAGATTTGAAGGAAATGGTCTGAGTATTGTGCCTTCTGGCCCCACGTGAATGATAAGCCCCTCATGTAAACAACCTAAATTAAACAGGTTTATGGAGAAGCCTGACTCCAGACTGAATCTGGTGTTGATATGAAAATACAACCTTTACTTGTATGGTTCTATTTTGGCATTCAACTGCTAGTCATTTCATAGAGTTTTGAGAAATAGATGGGCTTAGTTTTTAAGGAAGTTAAGCAGAAAAAAGTTGAAATGTGGACCTTGAGATCTATTTAAAGAAAGATTGTTGATTTTGATTATAGAGTATACAAGTGAACTTAAAAAGATTTTACAGGGACACTCTCTCTCTCTCTCTCTCTCTCTCTGTCTCTCTCTCACACACACACACACACACACACACAGACGCACACACAAACACAAAAGCTAGAAGCCAATGTAAACCGTGTACATGTGAATTTGTACATGAATTAAGATAGATGAGTAGAAAAATCTATTGTAGCTAGTCATGTGAGTGAATTTTCCACAGTTTAAGTGCAGTGGTGTACTGAAAAGCGCAATGGGCAGAGTCAGAAAACTGGCTCTGATTTGCATCTTTGCCACTTGACGCTCTGTGATTTGAAGCATATCCCATCACTACCTTGAGCTTCTGCTTTTTATTAGTAAAGTGGGGGAGATAATGAAAATATTTGTATCCCCTGGCCATTTTGACCATCATATGAGGTTTCGTATGTGCAAATTGTTTTGCATGCAATTTAACACACAAATGTTTTTTTTTAAAAAAGCATAAGTCAATCAAGAAGGAAAGAATCATGGTGTTGCGCCATGGTGTTGGTCAAGATCACTCCTCTGTCCTGAAATAGCATGGGCATACAAGGGATAGGTCCGGCTCATACTCAGCCACGGGTTCTGCAGTTAAGGTCAACCAAAAAGTAAAGGAGTCATTGTCATTGTCATTGTCATCAGCAGCAGCAGCAGCATGTCACCTAGCTTCTAGTGAGTTCTTGTAATATGCCATAAATTAAGTTCTACACGTACTCTTAGCTCATTGTGGTTATTTTAGCTGCATATTATTATTTTCCCCTCAACATTTTTTTTTATTATTCCCATTATAGAAGTGAGAAAACTAAGGAACACAAACTTAGGTAACTAACCCAAATCAAGGAAGAAATGGTTCTTTATCAGATATCTTGCCTTTACAAAAAACGACAATAATAATCCTTACCCACCAACATGTGTTTGTCATTGAGCTAGTGACTTGGTACTGCCAAAATTTCTCCCTATAAAATTAGGGTAATGATAGTACCTACCTCATAGAGTATTTGTGAGTATTATTTTTAAAGAAGATCAAGTAAAAGACCAAATACACTACCTAACCTGCAGTAAGTGCTTCATAAATGGAAGCTTTTTTACTATTATTATTTATTATGATCATCAAAAGTTCCTAACATACCTACTATTACTTGGATATATAGTGGAACACTTGGTAATAAAAACAAGCTTAAATGTACATAGGTAGATCAAATATAGAAAACAAAAATTGGTTTCAGAGGCATTAACCCCGGCAGGATGATACTGACCTAACAGAAATGACTGAGTTCCCAATGACTTTCTTTATATTCCTGATTTTAGTGAAAGTTTTGCTTACTGAATGACTGAAGTCTCAGTATCCTGTTATCACCTAGCTATCTGAGCACCTGTGTTGATGTAGCCAAATCTCTTATTTATATTTAGTGATTGCTGTGTCTACTGTTAGAGTGTTCTTAGAAATGATAACAAAGCTAAAAATAGAAAGTGACCACTTAGAGCAAAGCCACATCTCACCATGCTTATGATAAAGCATTATAATCTGTGTCTTTTGTTGAATAGAAATATCATTTTATAATAAAACAAAACCACATTTCCGTCATACTGATTTGCCATTAAAAAAAAAGGCAGCCAAATTCTTGAAATCAAATTTAACTCTAAGCTATTTCCTGTTGCATGAAAAATTCCATGTGAAACAAGTTCAGAGCAAAGGCAACGCTTTTTCTTGGTTATAAGGGATTCTGTAGATAAAGAGATATCAAGGAAAAAAACCCA